ACATCTGGTGAAAATTTCATGTCATTAGCACCTCTAGTAATATATTTACTGAGAAAAATGGTGACGTGTTCAATACTTATTTTACCCGCTGTATCTTTGAGCTTTGTTTCACTCACAAAAAGGTGCAAAGCACTTGTGCGAAAATAAAAAAGGTTAATGGTTTCACAGATTAAATTAATCCAGTATTTGTTAAATAAAAAAACATACTGTGCTGAAAAAACATTTGTTTTAACAAAAACAAAAAAAAGATAAAGCGTCATCTTCTCATAGTCTTCTATACTGTGCATTCAAACCCTTTTACAGGCAGAACAGTTATTACAAAACAGTTTTCAAAGCATTTGCACAATGACTTTCTACCTTTTTTATTCATGAGAATTCAATAGAATGACTGAGAGGTAAACAAAAATTTGCCATTTTGAACCATGTTTACAACAAAAACTTGGAGTGTAAAAACTGTTTTGGAGAAACATGAAATATAAATATTTTTAACATACACCTCAGTTCAAGCCATAAAATGTTGCTTCAGAAACATTTAGTAAGAATTTTGTTGTTCTGTTTGCATGCCAGGTTTGCTTCTAGTGCGTTGTTATCTTATGGATATAAAATAATTTTAGGTTTTAAAATGTATTTGCATCCACTCTAGAGGAACTGACTCTGTTCTTGCTTTTGCAACCATTGCAGACATTATCCTCCTAACAAAATCTCCTGTCCCCTCCAATCAAACCCACCCCCCTCCCTCCCAGCTCCTTTACCCAAAGTGGAAAACTTGACCATTTCTAACGTAACCCCCTACGGTTTCCGTGTGTCCTGGGAGGTAAGGCAGCCTCCGCAGCAGCAGGGTGAGTTAACGCCCTCTAGTGGTGGTTTCAGCCACTTCCAGATAGTGGTGACCGACTCAGGCTGGCTGCTGCAGCCCCAGGAGTTCACTGTCCCAGGGAACCAAGACCACCTGAACATCTGGGGGCTCATCACCGGCATAGGTTATGAGGTCAAGCTGACAGGGGTGTCAGAGTCAGGGCTCCTCTCTCGGCCCCTGACTGCAGTGGCTGTGACAGGTACCAATCGCTCACTAAACAGTTCACTGTCTTGTTTTGCTGCCGCTGCTATATGTGTAGGAGGTTCACTATCACAACATGGCATCATTTCATTGTAAACACTGGATTGATTGGCCACTTTCACATGGAAACATTTTTAATACAACCTTTTGAAGTCCTAAAAATAAAGACGAGGAATCTGTGTACGCTCCACACCTTGATTCTTCCCTTCAAAACATCTTTGTGGGAGTATCATAGTGCCTCACCCAGGACAGGCATATACTGTCGAAGTTTGGGTTATTTTCTGTTTTTCCTTGTAGATGAAAACATTTCTAAAAGCAGTGTTGTATTTGCATAGATAGTTTTGGAAACGATTAAAATATTGTTTGGAAATAACACCATTTCTGTGTGGACAAGGCCTTAAGGCCCTGTCACACTATAACGTTTAGACAACTTATGCCAACTTGTGAAATTTTTTATGTCTAAATTACTAATAAGTTATATATTTGGTTGTACTGTGATACTTTACAGTTATTGGTCTGTGAGATTATTTTGCACTGAAAATAGGCAAATTCTGATTCCTAATGTCAGATTCTGATATTCTACTGTCTCTAAAACAAAACATTTTTTTCTTGCACAATTCTTTATAATATATTTTTAGTATTAGTAGTTGTATCATGGCTAGTCAGTGTTAATTTCGTTTTGTTGTTGTTGTTTTTTTTTTTTTGTGTACTGCATAGTTTGTAATGTAACTAACGTGTGAACCTCTGTACTGATGCTGCTGTGACACCAGAATTTCCCCTTGGTTGGACAATAAAGGCTATTTCTATTCTATTCTATTTGATCATCTTGTTAGCATTACAAGCCTAAAAGATCCTTCCAGTTGATCTTTTTAATTCCATACATCCATACAGATGTTTGTAAAAATTTCCCAAGTTGTCTAAAACCTTATAGTGTGACAGGGCCTTTAGTAAAAATGAACTTAGGTAAAAGCCATGTTTCAATAGTGACGCTTTAGCCTAAATCTCATATTTAACCTCCAACTCTAACATAAATTCTTCTCAAAAACAACTCACCTTTCTTTTATTTAAAACATTTTCTTGGAATGCAGACACGTAAAGAAAAGCAAAAGTTATACCGTATCTGTCTGGTCTTTGTTTTTGCTTTTTTTTCCTTTAAAATATGAACAAACGCATTTGTTTGTTTTCATATTTTAAGTGTTTTCCTTCACTTTTTTTAATTCCTGTATGGATATCAGTGGGTAAAATCCATTATGTTGCTGTTGATTCAAATCTATTTTTCATATGCAGGAAAACACTGAAAGATCAACTGATGTATCAAGCATGAAATGTCTGTAGATTTGTGTCCTGATCTAATTTCTTCCATTTCTTTAAAAAAAAAACAGTATGCATTAAAGGCTGACGTCAGAGACGCATGGAGAACTCATCTCAGCAGACATTTACTGACATTAATAAATGCCTACAAAAGGCTTCTTGTCTTCTAGTTCTTGTATGTCTTTTTTATCCTTCAGTTGTGTATTTCACTGATTTACACTAACAGACACTTGAGCATGGCAGATTTGAGGTGGAACTGAAACAATCTGCCACCCAGAAACCATCTTTCCTGAAAGCTGACTGTTTCCAAACTGACACATTAATGAACATCTCTGAGAAAAAAACCATCAAATCTGCTGCATCGTTACTGTTTTCTTGTTTAACCAGAGGCTGAACCGGAGGTGGAGCATCTCTTCATCTCGGATATCACAGCTGACAGTTTCCGTCTGTCGTGGACAACCGATGAAGACCTGTTTGACAGATTTGTCATCAAAGTCAGAGACAGTAAAAGATTAGCTCATCCTCAGGAATTCAATGTTCGTGGCGACAAGAGAACAAAGGTCATAACTGGCCTCATGAGTGGTACCGAGTATGAAATCGAGCTTTATGGTGTCACGGTGGACCAACGCTCCCAACCCATTACAGGGCTTGCTCAGACAGGTATATACAAAACCCTGCCAAGTGTTACGTTTTCTGCTGAAAACTTCACTATGTTTAGTGTCATGTGCCAAACCCAGAGTCTCACTAACCATCTTTGTTTCTCTGGTTTAGGATAAATTAAGTGCTGAATGGAAAATGCTGTTTATTGAACTGAATTTGCATATCCTGAGTTGTAGGATATTCTTGATGTTATTTGAGATTTTCTTCACCATAATTTACCTTTGTTTTACTATTTTCCTGTTTGTGTATTTTACCTGACTCTCTGCTAGGTCTGAGTGCTCCAAGAGGACTTCATTTCTCCGAAGTGACAGACTCTACAGCCATAGTTCACTGGTCCAGCCCACGCTTTACTGTGGATAACTACCGCATCACCTACGTGCCTTTTGAAGGAGGTAAGGACTCAACTAGAAATATAAAGTTATAGAATTTACTTCTGGTTTAAAATACATTAGTACTTAGAAAATAATTACACTCATTTTACTTAGTTGTTCACCCAAATTGATAAAGAATGAAATCTAAAATCCAGCAATAATTTTATATTAATCTTATTTAATTTATTTGCAGAGGAAAAGTGTTCTAATACTACACATGGGAGGCAAACATGTATTTATATTATTGCATGATTTGTTGTACAGCACGTAAAGATATATATTTTTTTTCTATACAGAACAGCTTCAGGTATAGGATTTCAGCTGGTTTTCTTCATGTGAACTGTTGTATTCTCTGACATTTGTGTTAAGTGCAATATTTCACAGTCATTGCAAAAACTTGAATTTTATTCTTTCATCATTTTTCAATAGAACAATTAGTATTAAGGTCGTTGCTGCTCCATGGGCGCTTTTACCTCATGCCACACACAAATACGTGTGGCATTTGTGTGTGTGTGGGTTCAGCTTTGGTGACATTTGGGGGCAATTTTAAGACAAATGCCTACATTTGGGGACAAATGGTGCATTTGGGGACAAAAGTCAAGTCCCCATTTGGTTTAAATGCCATTGGTGGGTTGAGGGTTGGGTTTAGGACCAAGGTGTGGTTTAAGTTTAGGTTAGTTTTAGGGTCAGGTAGGTACCTGTGAGGTTAGTCTTAGGGTTTGTGGTCAGGGTTAGACTATAGAAATGTAATGGAAGTCAATGGAATGTCCCCAATTGGATAGCTGCCCAAAATCAACCCACCCCTGATGTGCTTCTATGCAGTGTGAGGCAGTAACAGAGGCACAACAAATCTGAAAGATATTTGCTAAACTGCTGTAAATATTTTGAGACTGACATAAAGGACTTACCCTAAATGCATAATGTGTTGAGTTCTGCATCAACACAGCTGAGTTGTGCCCCACAGCTTAGTGGGTTCCACCATGCTTGCTTCATTTTTGCAAACTTACGTATGTGCGGGACATGGCCAGCTCCATCTGTGATTTATGAACGGCCAGAGAGAGGCTAAAAACAGACTGATCTGTGTGCCAATTTCTCTGAACTGTTTTATGAAATGCCTCATTTCAGAGACAGATGTCAACTTTTAGGTTTCACTGTTACCTTTTAGAATTTAAATTTGGGGGCTTGAAAGTTGTCCTAGCTCAGATTCAGTAAAATGTTCATAAGTCATTATTCTACCATGATCATGTTTCATATAGAGGGAACAAGGTTTGTGTGCCAGAAAGCAGTCCTTGATGCACTCCAAGCAGCACTTTTTTATTGGGTCCTAAATTTAACTTGTTCAGGGAACAGCAAACCCAGCTCCATCTAATCATTTGAAAACTGCAGACATGCAGACCATGTATACAGGATATATATATA